ATATATAGATGGCTTATCGTTTCATGTCGTGATCAATATTAAATTGGTATGTCATAAAATATGAAATAGTAATCGTTGTACATCGTTGTATTTACCGTTTTAATTTGTTACTATATTGGTATAAAGAATATATTTAGAAAGATTTATATTTAAAATTTTTAGTTATTTATTCTTTTGACCAAATTTTAATCTAAAATTCTTATATGTCATACATGTACATATGAATGGTTTGTCGTTTCACGTCATGATCACAGTATTAAGATTGGCAGAATACATAACGATCGTTATAAAATATGATGAAATAGCAGCGTATACGTGAAACACGAGGGAGAGACGCTAACCCGAAGTGACATTGATCCCTATCGCTCGAATAGAAAATACAAAAAGTGATATACGACGAAAGAATTTACTGGTGTAGTCGACGGGCTTAAACTGTCGTTTCTCTAATAGTCGTTCTCTTCAGCCCGTCTCGTCGATTTCCGCTCGATGAATCGATCGTGCCAACCGAAAATCGCATCCAAGCCGAGTTAATCGCGTCCGAAAAACGACGTTGTGGAAAAATTCCCGAGCGGCCGATCAATTTACCGAGAGACTTTATCTCGGCGGCGCTCTCTCAATAATCTTTTTTCTTATGATAATACACCCCCCTCTGCCAAATATGGCAGATTTGATTTCGCCCTGCGCCGGGAAATCTCTCCGTGATCTGTGATCCTTCATACCGACGATGTTATATCATTCTGAATGATTTATTCCAGCTATCGAATCGCTCTTTCTCTTTCTGGCTCTCTTCCATAACGCGAAGAATAATTTCAGCATATTATACCGCGGACGGACATATGTCTGCTTTGTGAGTGACCGGCATTGTGCGGAAATGGATTAATTCGGATATCACGTAAATCGTGCATAAACATCATTTCATTTGAATAGAATCGCTCTAAACGTTCTACGACGGTGCACTCGCATAATCACATCGCTGCGCGATATTTGAAGTTTCTCGTGAGGGAACATTGAATTGGAATTTCGATATGAAAGAAATATATATATATATATATATATATATATATGATGTATGTAT